AATTTACATTCCTCCAAACAAAAGCATGGCTGGGCCTATCGCAGCAAAACCCCAGTCCCTGGTACCAAGTTCTGTCTTAGGGTTTCCTCGCTGTGAAGAGACAGCGTGACCACGGCAACTCTTACACAGGCAAAGTTGGGGTTGGCTTACAGTTTCCTAAGTTTAGTCCATTGTCATCATGGCAGAAAGCATGGCAGAGTACAGGCAAGCATGGACTGGAGGAGCAAGGAGTCCTGCTCTTGATCTGAAGGCAGCCAGGAGGAGACTGTGCCACTAGGCTTAGCTTGACCTCAAAGCCCACCTCCACAGTGACATACTGTCTCCAACAAGGCCACACCTCCTAATAGTACCATGAGCCAAGCATTCAAACACACACAAATCAATGGCCTTTGCAAGGATGTGGTGTTGGCCAGGTGCTGGCAGGACTGAACACTGTAAAAATAAAATGTTAAGCTTAGGAAACTGATTGCCCACTTAAGTCAAACTTTGTAAAAAGAAAAAAAAAAAAAAAAAAAAAAAAAAGCTTGAGGAATGCTCTTACTACCACAAGACTGACTGAAAATCAAGCCCAGGGTAGAAGGGTAGCTGACTAAAAAGGAGAGCAAATGCAGAGCCACTCAGGTATGTCTTATTAAGCTTAATTAGCAACTTTGTTAGCTTTCTTTCTGACTTCACCCTGGGTTCCATGGTAATCTTTTAGTCGTTGAAATGGATCTCATAGCTCAAGGTATCCTCATAGCCATACCAGACTTGATGGCTCTTGTGGTAATTATGCCCACGTTGTGTCTTGTGACACGCTGGCCTCCACTGATACAGCCGAGTTAATTTCCATCTCCTATCATCGAATCTAGCTTTCAGCTTTCAGAAGACAGCCATTGTCGATCTTCCCAAAGATGTTGTCCTTGTCTCCCCAGACCTTTACCAAAGGCTAAGACTGTGGGAGCCACGATCATCTTGCAAGTGAGGTCACTCTCGTACCAAAGGCAAGTGGTGTCCTTCTATTTTAACGAGGGAAAATATAAGTGATTTGCCTTCCAGAGAAGTTAGGGGGACTTTGGGCGCCAAGCGTTTTCAGGCTTAGCTATTCAAATGTCTCTAGGCTGGATCACAAGGCCTAGTCACTCTAAGAGCCTGATTTGGACATTTGGCACCTGACTCCTTTTTGTCGGCTACCCTCCTAACCAGGTCCTGGGGTCGGTTTTCAGTCAGACTTGTGGCTGCTAAGAATGTATCTCAAGCTTTTTTTTTTTTAAACAAAGCGTGACGTAAGCAGGCAATCAGTTTCCCAAGCTTATATATTTGTTCTTACAGTGTTCACGGTGCCAGAAAAAGCTACCTGACCAACCCCACATCCTTGCAACAGCCATTGCGCTCACTCAGAGGCGCTTGATCCCACAAAGCTTTGCTTCCCATTGGTTCCTCATTCCCATCAGCGGCAGATGAAGCTTTAGGGATTACCGTGTTGGGGCTGGAAAGATGGTTTTGCATCTGAGTGGTTTTCTGCTCTTCCAGAAGAACTTAGTTTAGTAAGTAACTCCCTGGGTCGCTTACAATTGTTTGTAAGTCCAGCTCCAGGGAATCTGACGCCTCCTTCCGGATGCTGGAAGCACCTGTGCCCCTGTGCATGTATGAACCCTCCCCCACATGTGTAATTGAATTCTTCTTCTTCTTCTTTTTTTTTTTTTTAAGAATCAACCTAGCTGAGTTGACAATCAAGTTCGGCCATCACTGTAAGCAAGCACTGCTTCCTGCTGTCTTCCTAAGGAGCAGGGACAGCCTACATACCACCCCAAGTGGTGCTATCAAACAGACTTTCTTGATGTCAAACGTGGATCTCCCATCGATTTGTTGCAGTCAGCAAGGCCAAGCCCGGTAGGTCTGTTAGGGAGACTAGATTGAGATGCACGGAGGATCTGGTACAGCACACTCTCTGTGTGTTTCTGACAGTCTCTCCAGAGGCAACTGACAGATCAGAGAACTGATCGATCGGGGAAGACACTTCCTGAACGTGAGATGCACCCTCTAATGGGCTGTGAGCCTGGGCTGGAGGAAAAGCCAGAGAACGAGGGTTGTTCAGTCAGAAGCCTCTCCTCCTGAGAGGTGACCCATTGTTTTGAGGGCCTTTACCATCACCGGCGGACATCAGACTATTTGGCTGTGGATTTGCAGCAGTGCCGCTCTGAGCTCCCAAGCCGCCTGCCCTCCTCTGGGGCTGTGTTGTTGTTCTCTGTTGTTCCTGAGTTCCCAGCTTCTTGCACTTCGTGATTTATTTCCTGGTTCTTCAGCCTACAGCGAGATGCTGTGGGACTATGCTGTGGGACTATGCAGCGTCCGCTTGTGTACACCCATCTAATAAATCACCTTCTACTAGTCCACTCTGTCTGTTCCATTTCTCTGGAGAAACCGGGCAGATACACTTTGGTGAGGAACAAAATCTCAGAACAACAGGAAAGAGTGGTGAAAAGGGAAGGGGAGAGTCAAACACCAGGTTGGGTATGGTCAAGCTAGCCATAGCTTTCAAAGAAGTTGTCAAGTGCTCTGTCACACCTGTTAGACATCTCAAACGGAACCACTAGACTCTGTGGCCGGGCATCCCTGTGGCCGGGCGTCCCTTCATCTACTCTCTTTCACCAGCCAGTGTTTTCCCAAGGGGTGGGGGAGCTACCTCCTGGTAAAGTTATTCCGAGACTCTTGTAATTAGACACTGTATGCGATGGGACAACCAGAAAGGCTGAAAGAAGCTGGGACCTCCCTAGGTCCTTCAGGGTCATTAAAGACTTATCACCAAGGAGGGTCTTCATTCTAAGGGAAGTTGTGACATCTCCCCAGGGTCAGGGCCCCCATTTTCATGGGCCAGGAAGTTGGGGACCAGGTGACTCTCCAGAGGTACAGAGGTTAAGTCTGGAATTGGGAAGCTGAATACCCATCTCCCCAGGCTCACCTCCACCTTACTATGTAGATAAGGATGACCTTGAACTTCGCATCCTCCTGCCTCCACCTATACTTCCTGAGTACCGGGACTCAAGATATCTGCTATCATATCTGGTTTATGCTGTCCCTGCGATCTGAACCAGGTCTTCGTGCATGGTGGCCAAGCATTCTAACAACTGAGTTACATTCCCAGAATGTCTTCACCCTTTGGTTGGAAGTTGGTATTTGTGAGTCTTAGGGAGATGGCGGTGTGATTCTGGTTAGAAGCCATCTCCGGACATTCCGAAAAGAACAATTACTGTATCTGCCCAGGACTATGACAACTGAATTTAAAAAGTGTGACATATGTAGATTTTCAAGTAGCATAGAGCTCCAGGTGCCCGGTGCTGTTGTCTTAGCTAAAGACTGGAGTCCTGTGCTGGACAAAAATACTCCAAATGGCTTAAGCTACAAAGATACATCCAGATCCATTTAATCTTGGCTGATGGGCAGGCCTCAGTCCTATGCTTCATTCCCTCTTTTCACACTATCCTGGCGGCTGTTCTAGGAAGGTCCTCCCCTAGCGATCATTTCTCCCATCCTTCTCCCTAACTGCAAAGGTTTATGATTTGTTACTTTTCTACTGTGCCTCACACCCAGTACTGTGCTGGCTCCGACTAGGTGCTTGTGGATACTGTGGGGCTCACAACTCCATCACGCTAAGAAGGAAAGGCCTCGCTGCCGTGCCCTGATGAAGGAGGCTCCCTGAGAATTGGTCTGAAACCTGCTTTGCAGAGCAGTTTATCTTTAAGTGTGGCTTTTCCTAGAGTGACTCAGGGGTACCTCCGGGGACAGACAAGGGGAAACTAAATAATTTTCTTCACCAGTGAACTGTGATAGCTCCCCTATGCTATCTGCCTCTGGTTCTCTCACCTAACCCCAAAACAGTATTGCCTAGCTCTTGGGGACTTTGCCTGAAATTGTCACACACACCCCACACCCCCACCTCACGAGAACATCAATCAGAGCGCTTACAAAGCGCTGTTGCCAGAAGAGCAGGGCGCCTGGAAGGTGCCTGCGAGGTAGGAGCAGCGAGCAGCTTGTCTGAAGGACAAGCAGCCAGCTCGTTTCTGAAGAGCCGACTTGTTGATAATTTTGCCTCAGATAGGAATTTGTGGATGACGGAGGAAAAGCCCTGGGGAAAAAGTCTCTCCCTGGGGTGTTGCAACTCCCCCGAAGACGCAGCGGAGTAATGGAGGGGAGGTCCTGAGGGGTCATGACTGCCAAGTGGAGGGAGGTCAGGCGCATTGCTTTGGAGGGTCAGCCAGTACCCTCCCAGCCTGGCACCTGCAGAGCTTGTAGGGAAAGGGGGCGTCCGCGAGAATGGTGCGCGGAGAGGGTCCCCATTAGTCAGATCTTACTGTCCCACCTTCCCACAGCCTGGAGATGAACTTGAGGGAGGGGCAAGCAGGAGCAGGATGTCACTGGCACTGGGAGTCCTCGGCCTCTAGGGTGAATAAATAAATTATTAAGCGCCCAATACACAATAGCCTCGCTAGATGGAGACGAGGAATCACTGCAGCGGCGCTGGCCGCCACGGCAGCGGGGAGCGCGGGCGGGAGCGCAGCCCAGGAGGGAGGCGGGCGAGGCTCTGGCTCCGCTCACGTCTGTTTTCCTTTTTCGTGCATTATTTATTTCGCCTCCGCCCGCGGCCCTGCTGCCGGAGCGGGTGCTCCGGGCCGGCGCCTCTCGCCCGCTGCCTCCCGCGGGCCCCCGGCACCCCGCGCCTGGGGCAGCCGCGCGGCGCCACCGGGAAGGGCGGTGACCCGGGCGGCGCAGGGAACCGCGGCGGGGCTGGAGGAGGGCTCGTGCGGTCGTCCCCTGGAGGATCCAGGGACACTTTTCTCGCCCTCTGCCTGGGCAGCCCAAGCCGGGCTCCGAGCTCGGGGGTGGCCCCCTTTCCTGGCCCGCGCGCGGCCAAGCGTAGCCCGGAGCCCCGTGCGAGCGCGCCGCGCCCCGGGTCCCCAGATCGGCTGCCCAGGAGGCCCAAGCGGCGCGCAAACTTTTGCTCCAGTGCCCGGCGCTCCTCCTCTGCATGTGAAGCCCCCGTGCGCCCGCGCAGCCGCCAGGGTGAGCTTGGAGGCCCCGCCTAGAAGGCGGGGGACTGGGGAGGCGGCTGGCTTTAAATGGGGGCCGTCCGGCCGCTGGGAAACAGAGCTGCTGTGGGAGGACCCTGACTTCCCTTCTCCGTGTTGACGATCGGTGGGGGTCGCCGCAAGGCAAGGCGGAGTGAGGCATCGGAGGGCTTGGGGGCGTGCGGGGAAAACCTACGCCTGCCCGGGAGCAGGAGCTGGGGCTTGGGCGGCAAATGGGTGCGCGCACAGAGGTGCCTGTGTGACAGGGTGCGCAGTGAAGTCCCCGGGGCAGAGAGATTTGCACGCAGCGAGTGATTTGGTGGTGCTGTGCGTGCAGAGTCAAGGAGTGTGCGGGCGGGAGTCGGTGGCGGTGCATGGGGAGGGTCACGGTGCGTGCGCGCGCAGAGTGAGTGGTTCTCGCAGGGTTTGAAGTTGGTGTTGTGCATGGCCATTTCTGGGGCCGTGTGAGGTTCCGTAAGTGTGTTCGGATGTTTCCGGAGGCGTGTATGGGATCAAGGTGTGCACGCATTGTTCTGAGGGGGAGGGCGTAGGGGGTGTGCGCCAGGATAGGGCGTGAGTTCTGCGACGCACCGCACCAAGAGTCAGCAAGTGTGCGCCCTGGGAGGAAGATGAAGGCTTGCTTTGCTCAGGTGCCCCAAAGTGCGGGGCAAGTGAGTCCTCATCGCGCTGATTGGTGAACTGATGCTACCGTGCCTGCTCAGTGTCCACCTGACTCCGGTCTTGCTCCCTTGACAGTTAGCTCACCAGTGGGCACCCCGGGCCGAGATGCTACTCCGGGACCTGGTGCTGCGCCGCGGCTGCTGCTGGCCCTCGCTACTGCTGCACTGTGCGCTCCACCCACTCTGGGGCTTAGTTCAGGTGAGAAGCGGGTAGAGGCCTCCTAGGAAGGAGACGGGGTCGCGTCACAGCTCTCCCTACAGCTGCCCACTGGTTGGTCCCGGGGAGAGTTGGGAGACAGAAAAACTGGTCAAGTACAGCATGCTCTGACCCCGGAAAGATAAGAAACTTCACAGAGAGCCTCAGTGGTGGCCTAAGGCCTGCAGGACCGAACTTGGCATAGGAAGGTGCTCAGCCCTCATGGAGATCTCTAGGGCAGCTTTTGGGAGAAAAAAAGGAAAAAGAAAGGAACTTAAAAAGAAAAAGGATCCACAGTGGTGCCTTGTTTCCTACCAGACTCCACCCCTAAACTTCAGCCTGGGGTCGGGGCTGTGGTTCTTCTAAGTAGTGGCTGGGGAGGTGAATGGGTTGTGAAGAACAACTTCTGTCAAGACTGCCCGAGGACGAATCCCTCCCCTGTGTTCTCCCTGTGTTCAGGGCTGAGGCCAAGCACCCACCAGCTGCAGCTACTAAGGACAGAGAGAGGGTTGGATGGGATGGACTCTCGCCCTGCCCAGAATTCCCATGGCCAGCTCTGTCTTTTAGCAGCTGCGTGGCTGGACAGCATGCTTAAGCTCTCTGGCCCTGGGTTTCCCCTTCCTGACTGCTCTGGGGTCAGTAGTTGTTTGCTAGGTACCTTGCCCGGACCCTATGAAACATGGTTAGTAGCCGGCCCTGCTGTTGCTGGGATTCGAGGTGTTAGATCCACAGGGCAGAAAGCCCCACCTCCATCAGCCTCTAGAGGCACCCCACCCCCAGCTCAGGCCAGGGCTTTTACTTTCCTTGCTCTGGCCTGCCTCTGGCCTATGACTGCTTTGTTTCAACTTGCTTTGTGTCCTCAGGATTCAGGCTTGTCACTTCTCAACACTTGAACCACTGAGGCTAGGTCCCTTTGTTCATCTCCTAGCTGAACCCTTCTGCAGAGTTCACCCTTCTGTGTACACATAGGCTTGGTTCTCTGCCTTCCCCCAAACCCCTCAGCCAGGGCTTAGAGAGTACGGATAACATTGCCTTGAGACTAGAGTACTGCCCTATGCTCCAGAGGGATCTAAAGAGTCCTTCAAAGGACTAATTAAACAAAACAATAGCAACAACAACAACAACAACAACAAAACCCCCAGCTCTGTTGTGTCCTACAGGCAGTATTTCCAGACACAGTTGTGTGTGTGTGTGCTCCAGATGCTCAAACTCAATACAAATCAATTCTCATGAAAATCAATTAGAAAACGATCCTCCAGTTAAATAGAATGGGCAAGTTCTTGGCATGAAGCTCTGGGAAATTAATCTACAAATGATAGGGGCAGAGAAAGGAAGGGGGCTCAGGAATAAATGGGTCTGGTTTTTAAACAGGAGAGCTGGATTTGGGGAGGGACAGAGCAGAAGAGAAGGAAGCATGCCAGCTCCTGAGGCCATGTGTTTCTCTTTAAGTGGAGAGAATAAATCCATCAGGTCACAGGAATTTCCCCGAACATAGAGGGAGAGCTCAGAGCCATCATTGCTTCCACGAGCATTCTGCCTAAGAACCCTCCAGAGGGTAAAGGAGAGACTTGATGCAGCTGTCTTGTGATTAATGGGCCGCTTGATGAGGCAAGAAACCTGGGTCTCTCCCTTGAAATGGGCGGAAGCTTCTGTCTGTGGCAAGATGGTAAGACAGCGAGTTGCTCAAGTCCAGTGGTATTTAAGTTGCCAAAGGTTGCTAGGGTCATTCCTTACCTCCCTCTGCCTCCCTTTGTGATGTGTCTGGAATGGAGTTTTGTGACTTAGGCTTCTTCTAAGTTCACTTCAGTTGATTCTTTTTTCTTTTCTTTTCTTTTCTCCTTGTAAGGGAAGAGGATGACAGGCTGGCAGATTTATTAGGTGTGACAGGAATGTGTCTCATCAAGTTACTGTGGTGCTGGCCTAGCTCTTTAAAAGATGCCAGAAGCCATCATCCTTGTGGGCACTTGTCTGAAGCAAGTGCCAGGGAGACAGGCTTGGATCTGGCCTTCTGTGTCTCTGTGTGCTGTCACGAAGCTATCCCAGACCTCGTGGAAGCTGAGTCCTCCATTCAGCTCCCTCAGCTGGCATTTTCCAGCAGCAGCGTTTACTGGGCAGTGTGTGAAGTGCAAGCGCCTTAGTGGTCCCTGTCCTTGTGGCTCTGACAAGCTGTGCTAGCAACGCAGTTAAACGAGTGATTGCAGGCCGAAGCTCTCAGGAGGAGCGAATGTCTTAGACCTGGAGAAAGAGTTCAAGAAACCTCCCACCGAGGTTCCCCCGCTGAGCTGTGAGAGAGGTCAGGGTACACTGGATGGTGGAGCCTTTGGCTGAGGCAGCAGCCTGAAGCCAAGGGCAAGGATAAGGTGTGGAAAGACATGGGGAGAGAAGGAGCAGGCAAGCCTTTGTCTTGAAGTTGTGATTTGATCCTGAGACTCCTGGGCACAACGGAGAATTTGAAGTCAGACATGACACCATCTCAGATTGTCACTTTAGACATCTCAGCTTGTCAGCCTAGGTCAGCAGGGAGGCTGGCTTCTGATTCCAGAGCATACGACGAAGGGGACAGAGGTTCACATGGGGGCGGGGTTACCATATTGAGCCTATGCAAAGCCCAGTTTCACTTTTAGCCTAAGTATATTCTTTACAATCTTGGGGCCATTTGTAAGCCATAGTGCTTTTTGTAGTTTGACCATCATTCAAGTTTAACAAGACAGTGCTCCTAGCAATACTAGGTAGAGGCAGGCGCTACTTGGTAGACATGGATGCCTGGTGCAGGGTGAAACAAGGAACTGGAGAGAGGGAGGACATGCTTAGGAGGCAAAATCCATGTCATGTGTGAGAGCCGCCCAAACTGGCCTTGAATCCAGCTTCGCTCATGTTTTCAGGACACAGGCAAAAACACAGCCCAATTCTCTGCCAGAGCATTCCACAAATGACCTCCGACCCCTTCCCAATAAAGTCCTTGTTTCTCTCTGTCCTTATGTCCCTCTGCTTCCTGACTGTGGGCACGGTACGGCCAGCCACATCGACCTCCTGCAGCTGGGCATTTCCTGCCATGATGGGCTGTCCCTGGAGCTATGAGCCAAGCCAAACTCCTCCTTCCCGGAGGTCTACTCTCAGGTCTACTCACAGCAAATGAGAAAAGCAACTAAGACCAGCCTCACCCAGGCAGTCCCTGGGTTGTGGGCAATGTTGGATTGGACAATAGTTACATTACGTGGGCTGGTTGATCCCTTGTCTTACCTGTCCTATGGCTAATAAGCTTCCCAGATCAGTCATCCTCATGAAGGGGACCACACAGGACTTAGCATGTCACCTCCTCAGGATGAATACTTCCTACTTGTCTGTCCCATGACACCTACGGTTTCAAGTGAGGGGACAGAAAGCATAAAACAGCAGGCTGCTTGCCCTAAAGAGGAATGTCTGCAAGACGAATAGTCTGCAGTGAGCAGGGAGGCCCAAGTAAGGTTGCAGGGACAGCTTTGTCCCACATGACTGTGTAGGAATGGGCTTTGAACAGTCAGGAGATGCTGCTGGTGGATAAAGGGTCCAACGGAGGGAGACCTATCGGTCATAGGCTCATGCACAGCCAACCTGTAGGAAACTACAGCGGTGCTGCAGCTAGAGCTCACCCCTTGGCAAGAAGTACCGCTGGCTCGGACTTGGCCCTTCTGTGAGAACTGGTTCTTGAACAATTGTTCACTTGGGTCTCAGGGGAGCCTTCACACAAGAGACCAGAATCCACCGACTTTTAAAATGCAATTCATTTTTTTCCCTTCTTCAGCTTTGAAACTTGGTCCCAATTTTCTTGCCTGTCATTTGGTTACACAAAACACTCTTGTAGGTCTTTACTCTTAGAGCCTCTCGTAAAAATAGGTCATTGTGTCAGGTCAGGTCCAACCAGTGTGCTCCTCTTGAACTCTCCTGCGTTGAGTGTGCCCTGGAGTCTGGAAAAGTAATTGCTTTGGCTGGGGTAGGGGCTCCAACATATGGTAGCCTGGCCTGTTTACCCATGACTCTGATAATTGAGTCATGTTGGTACAAGAATGAAGGAAGCTCGCCTTTTGCGCATGCACCCTTCCCTTGGGGAGACAGGACTGCTTCCAGGGTCAGAAACCTAGTCAGTGGCCCTTTAAAAATACCAGTAGGTGGTCTGCAAAAGCCTGTTGGCCTCTCAGGTATTAAGTTGGGCAGTAAATTGGTCCAACTTCTCATTGCCACCCTGACACCCACTATGTAGCCGCTACGTCATCAAGAGCACAGGGAGCCCCCAACTCCTTTCTTGTCTTGAAGTCAGCTTTGGGCCCCTGGCTATATAGTCTCTGTCAATGGAGGAACACTGGGAACTCATGGTTATTAGGCTGGCTCTCGCTGCGTTTGAGCTCAGGCCCAGCAAAAGTGTCACTTCACTGGCAAAGGCAGGAATGGGTTGGAGCTGACTGAGGATTTCCAGGACACAGCTAGAGTGAGGCATTACTGTTGAGCACAACTTCCTCTAGCTGACATAAGGAACCCGAGACCCATCCTGGGAAGACCCCAGGCCCAGACCTACAAGGCACAGGTTCTGGTCCAGACTTTGATATTTGTTCATTCATGGGCCAGCTCTCTGTGAATTCTGGGCCATTCCTTGAGTGTCAGTTTTTAATAATGAGAAGGAAGCCAAGGCACAGATAACCCAGTCATGGCATAGCGTACAGTCCCCTGGTAAAGACTAAGTAGCAAAAATGAGCCCCGGTACCAGGGCACCTCTGAGAAGGAGATTTGGCTTGGCCAGGAAGTGACAGCAGAGCTGAATGGTGGCAAAGTGGGTGAGGTGGGAGAACATTGCAGCCACCAGGACAGCATGGGCAATGGCCAGGGGTGACAGGAGGGTGGGGAGGGAGAGGATACAGAGAGGCTTGCCAAGGGGCTGATTATGCAGTGACTTGTGGGCCGTGTGATCTTCTGAGTAGTAAGGAAGCATTTGGGGGGTCCCTGGTAGATGTGTTCCCCACAAGCCGCTCAACTGGTATACAGAGACCACCAGGAGGTTAGTTACCCTGTCCCTTGGTCACTTGAGATGCAGACAAAGGTCCAGTCAGGTAGGTTTCTTCTCCAAGATGACTCCTGTCTAGTCTGCCTGCTTTGGTCTTAATGAAGAATCCCAAGTGTGGTCTGAAAGGGACCCACCCAGGGCAGGCTCAGTTCAGCTTCTAGCTACCTTGTAGCCTCCTACATCTCCTGGTCGTGTCCATGTCTGCAGGTGACGCATGCTGAGCCCCAGAAGTCTTGCTTTAAGGTGACTGACAGCTGCCAACACATCTGCCAGTGCCGGCCCCCGCCCCCACTGCCCCCTCCACCCCCACCTCCGCCACCTCCCAGACTACTCTCTGCCCCAGGTAAGTGAAGACTCATTCGTTTGGAGGGAGGGGAATGCTACTCCATATGTTTTCCTGGGCCCAGGAAGAGCTGATGAACGAGATGAGACGGAAGACAGTTCTGCCTTCTTTGTAATTTTCCACTGGCCGAGCGGGAGGGAAGCCAAGGCCCAACTTTCCCCTGCAGTCTGCAGAATGCTATTCCCCCAGAATGCTCCTGCAAGATGGAGAAGGATGCTTCTCCATTGGTTAATCGGATAAAAGTCAATCTCCATTTGATAAGTGACCCGGCCTGGAATGTTCCGAGGGCCAGATCTTTAGAGGGGGCAGCTGCTCAGTAAGATCTTAAATAGCCCACCCACACAGGTTTAATTTTCAATTCCAATGCCTGTTTTTAAGGAGGCAGTAAGCATAGAACCAAAGGCAAAGGTCTGGGAGCCGAGACTCACTCTTGCATTTCGGCCCTTCTTACCCGATCTGCTGAAGCCTCTTGGGCTTGCCTCCTCCCTGGGTGACTGCATTTCTGAACAATTTAATTGTCTAATCAAGCAAACAAAGGGGCATTTCTTTGGCCAGAAATGGCCTCAGCCCTGAGTTCTGCACAGTTAGGTTCCCTGATTATGGGTGGTGGCTCCTGGGGTCTCTGGAGCAAATTCTGAGCTGTAGGTGGGTCACTCCAGGTTTGCCCTGTAGCATACCTATGATCATGTCGCCACTGAATTGTGAGTGTGTCTTAAATAACCTTGATGAGGAGTGATCCAGGCTAGGCTGTGTGTCCAGCCTCTTTTTTGCAGTTTGTGTGGATTCTTCCCTTTTTTATGGGCTCCTTGACCCCCTGCTTCTGGGAGTGTAGTCCCAAATAACCTAATTACATCCTCTCTTGCTTGTTTTTTGTTTTTTTTTTTTTTTTTTTTTTTTTTTTTTAATCTATATGAGTCAGAGACATTGGGGCAGGGCTTAGCATCGTCTGAGTTCAGATGCAGGTTTTTATGAGAGCTTAATCCCACCAGTCCCTCCGGCATCCTTCAGCATCCTTCTTCAGCATCCTTCCATCCCTGGTGCTCTCTGGCTTGAGTATCCTGAAAGACCCCATCCGTCCGTGCTAAGAACCAGCCCCTGTTCCTGGAGATGTTACCTTCCTTTCCTGAGACATCCTCTCTGCCCAGTGTCTGGCTCCCAGGCCTGTGGCTGGGACCTGATAGTTCCACACATTCAGCTATAGTCCCTTCGACTCCTCTTGTGTTTCCATGCATCCGTACTGGTCACAGGGAAGGGTTGTCTATTCTTCTGTGACCACTCAGCTCCACAGAGGGCACGGTATCAGCAAGCCACAGGGTGGCCCGTGAGAACATGGAAAGCATTTGCCAGGGACGCTGGAAATTCCATAGTGGTTAGGACAGATTCCAACTCTAAACTTCAAATTAGCCTTCCTACTGCCTTCAACCTGGCATGGAGGCTGTATTTCTTGTAAGCAAGTGGCCAGAGAGGTGGATGGATTATTGCCACATGAACCACCATTCATGCAGAACCTGGTCTGCAAGGTAAATGGGACTGTCCTGGGTTGATAGGGAGGTTTAGGGAAGAGGACATACAGGTGTGAAGTACAGCATGGACAAAGGCTGGGCAAAGGCTAGGAGGCAGGACCTTTTGGGACACATCTTAGGCATCACAGTCCTTCAGTGGGGTTGTCTTTATCCATTTCTATTGCTGTAAGACAATACCAGTGACTAGGTAGTTTATAAAGGAAAAAAGCTTTATAGGATTTTTAGGCTAGAATACCTAAAACTGGAGGGCAGCGTCTGGAAAGGGCCTCCCCCTGTTTCCTGACACAGTGGACCAAAGGGTGGGCAGGCATGTGCAGATGAGAGGGAAACAAAGCTGACCAGACCAGACTGCTCTGTGGCATTTCTGTTCCCAAGAGAACCCATCTAGTGTCACGAGAAAGACACTAATCCCTCTTCAAGGTGCCACCTCCTCATGTCACTGTGTTGGCAGCAAACCAAGTTTTAATATGAATTTTACTAGGGCAGATGGCATCCAAATCACAGCAGGGTTGAAAAGGGACAGATCTTCTGGGCCTGTGTGCCTCCAGGGCCTGGGTGAGCAAGCCACATCCCATCCTGTGGATCACGGCTCACCAGTTTCCCCAAATCCAAGCACCATCTCTCATTTGCCTTCATTTTTCTGTGCGTATTCATCTCTGATTCCACAGAACTCTTCGTAGAAGTTGTGTAAACAAGAAACCTCTCTCTTAGATGGAAGGTGCCCATAGAAACAGACAAGATGAAAACAAGGCGGTGCTTTAAGATATCATTCAGAAGCCTTGTAAGAGAATCAAAAGGAGCATGCTATGTTGGTTGTGGTGCTGCTATTATCAGATTTTGTGTTAGCTTCCTGCCACTGTAACAGAATACCCGAGAGAGTCACCTTCCTGGAGGGAAAGGTTGGTTTTGACTCAGTTTCAGAAGGTTCAGTGTACAGTTGCTTGGTTCTGGGATTCGGGTATGTGTATCACCAGGCTATCATGATGGGAGTGGATAATGGAGGAGGCCTGTTCATATTCTGGCAGCCAAGAAGCAAAGGAAGCAAGAAAAGGCCACAGTATCCCCTTCAAGGTCACAGCCTCCTGACTTAACTTCTTACTAGGCCCACAGACTGGGCACCAACCATTCAACACATCGCCCTTGGAGGGCACTCAGGATCCAAACTGTAAGTGCTTCGGTGTGTTTGAGCGGCGTGTGCTATCTAAAGTCTATGGTGCTGCAGGGACACGGGCCCATCTTTTGGGACACTGCCTGGACAGTGATTAGGCAGGTGAATGGTGTGCCATCTCACACTCTGCTTCAGAGACATCAACTTCTTTTAACAGCTTGGAGTGCGTGTTAGGGTTGATCTGCCAGACAAGACTCTGTGTGTGTGTGTGTGTGTGTGTGTGGTGGTGGTGGTGGTGGTGGTGGTGGTGGTGGTGCATCTTGGGATTATTTGATGTCCAGAACTGCTGTGTGGTAGAGGGGACAAAGTTGAGCTATGGGAAGGAAGGTGATTCTGGAGAAGAGAATAGTACTCCTGAACCAGTAGCTTGTTATAAGCAGCGGAAATGGCTCTTACGTCTGTAACAGGTTTTGGTCGTAATTGTCCCCCATGACACTCTTGTTCCACCCAGCTCTCACTGATCCACCACACAGCTAGTTACTCTCCTCCTCTCACGTGTTTTCTTTTTATTAGTTGGTACCTCAGTGGGCCTCATTATGGTCTTTTCTAGAAGCATGGGTGAGAGGTTATTTCCAGGAGCCTGGGCAGCTTGCCTGTGGTTACAGCACTGAAGAAAATGTCTCTTTCTCCCTCAACAGATCTGTCCGTAGATCCTCAGGGAAGAGTGGGTCCCTCCTTGACAGATTTTTGAGGAACCCAGTCTTGGGCAGATAATTATAGGTGCTGGGAGTTCAAGAGTGCCACAGTGTGTCATGCCCAGAAGACAGCATTCCACAACACTCCATTCCTTCCTCTGGCTCTTACGTTCTTTCCAGCAGAAAATGATAAAAATGGTTCACTGAGGGCCAACCATTCAGTACTTAATTCTCAATGCAATAACAGCTGCCCATAGAAAAACAAACAAAAACCAACCAACCAAACAAAATGCTCTCGTGGGCATATACATAAATATTTAGAAGGTGCTGTGCTGGTCCATAATATCCATTTAGCAAAAGGACAGCAGTAGCTTCCTCATGGTGGTCTACGATATGGGCTTTTGACCACGTTTACAGTGCCACACATGATTTCCTTCCGGTGGAGCAGGCCTCAATTCCAAGCAGAACGTGGTTGGTTACCCCTTTAGTGGTCATGCCGCGATCGCAGCAGTGGGATCATCTTGCCTGGTGGGTCCACAGCAGAGTAAGAGTTTGATGACAACCCTTCCACAGTAAAACAATAGGCTTTATTGTGGCACTTTCATACACGTGTGTCATTGCGCTTTGTCCTTATTATCTCCGTTCCCACTGCCTTTCCTAGTCTTTTTTTTTTTTTTTTTTTTTTCTAGACATACGTCTGGAAGTGACTTATGCAATACAAAAGTAAGAGAGAAAGATGACAGCCTTTAAGCTCATGAATCAGAAGGTTGCAGTATCAGGTCTGCTGCATCCACGGAGTCCAATGTTGATGGTCTGGGATTCTCTTTCTCTGTGTCTGCCTTTCGGCCTCGGTCTCTTTCTAACCCTCTGCTGTCCCTGTGGCTTCAAGCTCCAGGATCCCCTCAACACTACAGGCTCTTCATCTAGAAAATAGACTCATGAATCACCCACATCATTGCTCCTCCCTGCCCCAAGTCATTGCTCCTCCCCCCCCCCCACCACGCCCTGAGAATTCTTAAAGGAGAGTAATACTTTTGAATCCTGGCCAGGTCACTGTGGCCGCTACACATCCTATGAAAATCATTTTTGAAAGAAGCAGCCCAAGGGTATGAGCAGCTAGACTCAGAGGCCAAAGAGATGCCTCTGAGGAAGAGCCATTCAGTTTCCAAAGGGATTCCCTGGTCATCCAAGTCAGGAAAACTTTCTCTAGCCAAAAAGGGCCTCAGCCCCTACCACTGCACGGGAACTCTCCTGCCTTACAGCTGCTGGTTCACAAGACCTTTAAAGGAGATTCTGCGCTGGCGATGGGTTTCAGCCTGCGAAATGTCTGTGATTGCATCTCTATCTTTCACCAGACGGTCAGGGAGGGAGGAAGGATGTGAAGAGAAAGCCAGGAAGGCTTGGGGCTGAGAGAGGCTGATGGGACAAGGAGCAGCTGTCTCAGAGGCCCAAGGGCTGGGGAACATGTGCCTGGAGTAGACAGCACAGGGAGAGAGATGACCCTTGGCACCGACCCTGCAGAGATGATGATCAGAAGCCTTTTGGGGATCCTTGGGTGGTCTCCACATAACTGAGCCACCTCCCTCATCATTCATACACCCCTCAGCCACTTCTTGTTGCTCAGGTTGACCAGTTGATCCCTGTTTCCCCAGGACTCTCCTAGTTTTAGCACCC